GTACAGACTGAAGAAGTGCTAACTGCACACTCCCAAATTCGGAAGTTAAGGCTGTGATCCTTTTGCTGCTGGTGGCACAGTGTCTATGGGAAGGAAATGGCTTTGGTCCCATCCAGAGGATAATGGTGATACCTTTTTTTTTATTATTATTTTACAGAAATACTGTACAAAATTTCTTTTGTTCCTGAAGCCAGGTAAAATATTCCCATTTAACCAAAATATCAGTTCATGGCTCTGGCAGTGTATATGCCTGTATATAAGAAAATGAGTTATTCCTGACTAGGTTGCCTGAGTCAGCCCAGCATGAATGCTGTTAGTCTGAACGCAATTCGATGTATTTCACATAGTACTATGAAGCCTTGGGCACTGGAGACAATTTCAGGGAAACTTGCTTTCTGAGTCATCTTATCTTTGATTTCCCAATAGCTTCGAGGAGCTCAGTTGCTTTAACTGCCAGCTGTTTTAGCCACACATTATGCGGATGTTTGCCCAGCTCGTTATGGGTGAGGCTAGTAGCAGTATTCCGTGTCTTGCATATTCTTAATGAGCAATACCAGGAACAACCACATTTTCTGCAACAGCCTAATTTGACATCAGATTTTCTGGAGAAAATAATGGGTAAATAATTTTCTGTTGAGCTTGTATCTGCCCAGTTACTAATGGTGTAAAAGCAGGGATAATTAAGATGTTTGTTTTCTTTGAGGCTGGTTTGAAAAAAGGGCTAAATGGCATTTTGCAGAAGGTTTATAAGAACTGTGGAGTGCAAAAGCATTATTAAGAGCAAAGAAGTGTATTAAGAGAGCTGAGGCACCATCAGAAGATTTGTATCAATTTGTTGGAGGTTTCAGATATATGTAAGTTTTATCACTCTGTAGATGAAGGAGGGAAATAGGTGGCTCCTAACCCTTATAATGGGGCTTTGAGGACATAAATAAAGTATCTATTTCTGTACACTAGTGATATATTAGGCTGAAGTGCCTCTGAATGGTGACAAGGTGTTACAAGTCAAGGTGATGCCACCAAGTGACCTGTAGAAAACAGTAAATAAGGTGGGGTATAAAAAAGGTGTCTGCCTCAGTAGCTGCTTCTTCCTGGGGAAGTTTAAGAATGTTTTGTGCCAAGCCCTCCAACTTCGCTCAGGATGGACTGAGTTAAAATCGTGCATTCAAAGGAGAAATGTCAATCTTAGAGTGAGCACTTGTATTAATTCATGCATGTGGAGCTGTTTGTTGGGTTAGCCTGACTGTGGCAATCTGAAAACTGGGTCAATTGCTTGCGCTGCTAGTGAAGAAGCTAAACCCAACCATCTTGGAAAGAAAGGGTGGGAAGGGTTGGCTGGTCTGTGGTGGAAGAGACAGAAGTTTTACCTCAGTTTGAGAGTGAAAAGGAGGCTGATGCTGATGGCATGCATCCATCGCTCCCTGCCATAGGCAAGCTTCCACCTGAGAGGAGGTATAGACCCTCCTTTTGGAAATAAACAGCTAGATAATAATTTAGGTGTAGACAATCTGGTACTGAGGAGAAGGTAACTTTCCCAAGCCTTAAGATAAATGATCCAGGAATGGTGTGTGATACACGTAAAGCTAAATGAATGCTGTGAATACTTTTCATTTGAGTGTGTGGAACTTGAAACATCCACTTCAAAGTGTTCTGCAGAGCTGTAGCCAAGCAGGTATCCTTTTATTTTTAGTTTTGCTTTTGCTGGCTGATAAACACCTTCTGTTTCCCTGTTAGTAACAGCACAAGGTCTCCTTCTCATTTTATGTAGCAAAATTAGGATGGTGTATTGATTTCCAAAGCTATTTATCATTATGTGATGCACTGGGTTTAGAACTTGGCTCAAGTGGTAGGCAAGGGAATTAGGCTCCACATGATGTATTTCCTTTCAGTGTTAATGCTTTGCTGATGAAGGTAGCAGCTCTGCAGCAGAGTGAATGCCCCCAGCACCTTTTTGTGCAGAGGGTACTGAGGTATCAGCGATGTATTCTGCATAGCTGGAAACATCTCTTCTACACTTTAATGGTTGTGAAACCATTCAGCACATTTTTTTTTCTTTGACTTCACTAGATGTCTGAAATAAGCAGCTCAAGCTGATGTTGTTACCTTTAAACACTCGCCTAAGACTGCTATCTAACCCAGGTGTGGAATAGGAGGTTACTTGAGATCTCTTCTAGCTTCACATATCTCATACTGTTAAGAATACTGTCTTTATCACCCATCGTCAATACAAGTTTTTAAGCGCTCATAGTATGTGATGATTTAATTAACTAAAACAAATCCCCCTCCCCCCCCGGATTCTACTAGACAGCACAATATACCATGGAAATATTGACAGGCTTGCCACTGCAGCACAGAGACCAAGCTTCACCAAAGGAAACTCTGTGACCCCAAGCTCACCCTGGACCCCCAGCCGAAGCACTGGGGCTATCTGGGCTAGGTGTCAGTGGGCTGGTCCTTCCCCATTGCCAGGTGGTGGCTGGGAACTGTAACCCTCCCACAGCACCTTGCCAGGCAGAGTAATGGAAAACCAGGCAGGTTTCCTCTTAGGTTTACCTGGGCTCTGCCAAAACTTTGTTGCAACAGCACATTTTCAGTAAAACTTCCATTGACATTTAAAGTCAAATAAATGGATATTTTTCACCTATAACACCAACTAGACATCTTAGTAAGTAGTTGCTGACTAGCTTGAATTACTATTATGTCAGTCATTGAGAACCAGCCAAGCATGTCAGGGTTTACTGAAAATTAACACCAAAGCCAGATGTTCTGACTTACTTAGGCCTGCTGCCCCTCTTTAAGATAGATGTTATTGAATATAATCTTTGATTATTTATGGACTAGAGAGGACTTTGCCCTCTAAAGAGTGTCTCTCGTTCTACCCCTTTCCAGAGCTGAAATATTCATTACTTCTTGTTTGGTTTTTTTTGTTTGTTTGGGTTTTTTTGTTTGTTTGTTTTTGTTTTTTTTTTTTTTTTTTTTTTTTTTTTTTTTTTTTTTTTTTTTTTTCCCCCCCCCCCCCCCCCCATATCACTTCTGGCATTCTTGTCACATCCATTTAATGACACACTTCTTTGACCACTAAAATTTCTAATGTATTTTCATTGTTTTTTTTCTTGTCCTTGAAGACATACCTTTTACTTTTAACTCCACTCATTCACTATGCAACAATTGTAATTGTTTAATTAAAACATCCTCCTGCCACTAGAAATTTATACCTCGAGTACCACAGAGACAGAGTAAAGCTGATGCTGCAAGGAATTAAGGATGCCTAACTACAAGGGAAAGAGAAAATCAGGGCGGATGTTTGTGTCGAAGTTGTTGAGCCTGCATCTGGGTCTGCAGTGCCTCCTTTATTAGTGGGCAGGTTACAAATGCTGGCTGGCCCCGTGTTTCTCCCATGAGCTCATTGGTGCTAGAGGTATGTATAGACCAGTATATTCTGAGCTGTGATTATACACCAGACAAGTATGTAACAGCAGGAAAACCCACAGCTGCAATGATAGGAAGTATTTATACAGAGCAGTACCATCTGGTGCATGTTCCTATACTATACTTAGTGATACACTATATTTACTCCTATAGTACACTTAGGGACTATACTTAGCTGCTATACTGTGTATCCCAGTTAATCCAAAGACATTCAGTATCTCACAGATAACCCCACTTTTAACAGCAGCCATTCTTTACCCGGTGACGTCTATGCAGCTCCATGAACAGATACAAAACAGGGAATGTGAAAGGGTTATTATATCAAGGGGCTGCCATCTTGCTCATCTGCAGATACATGGATACACAAATTTCTCTCTTAAAAGGGAGTGCAGTTTTAGTGATGCCTGTGTTAAGGCTACCAGCTTGACTGTGCTTGATTTTCAAAAAAAAATTCCTTCTCCTGCTAGCCTAAAACAGAAGAAAAAAAAATCTACAGTCTTCGAAAAATTAATTTATTATACATTCGTAGATGATTTTGTAATAAAAATCCTCACCAGGCCTATTGTCAACAATACAAAACTAATAAGAAACTCCAACATCCACCATTTGCAGCAGTGCTAATAAGTTAGTGGGCAATAGTGCCCTTACTTGCGGTGTGCACTGCAGCTGCATATAACTGTGACCAATGTATTTTAACTTGAAAACTTGACATTTTACAGCCTCTCTACCTCTGTTTTGGACACTGACAGTTCTGTGCCATAAAAATGCAGTGAGTTATGCCATGGTTCCATAGCTCTTCTGTTCTTTTTCTTGAGGTCATCTATATTTAGATGGGCTACATGAATCCCTAAGTCTCTACATGCAGTTGTAGTCATGATATGTGCTTTTACTCTGACCCAAAGGTGCAGTTACAATTTCATACATATCTCTCAGTAATGGTATCAGGAAGAGAGGTGTGGTGTTGTGTTACTATTAACTCCAGTCCGTGTTAAAGGCCTCTTCAGTAGTAAAGCAGCATTATTGTTATTGGTCTACTTAAAACAGAGGTAAATATTTTTGGCACATTTTTCTTAAAAAATGCAAAGCCAGACTTAACATTCACAAAGAAGTGTTTCCCAGTATATTAAGGATACAGTACTCAAGTGGGCATACAATATTGCTCAGAAAGGTAGCATTTGGCATGGATATGCTTTTTTCAATTAATCTGTAACTATACATAAATTTATGCATACACACACATACAGATTTTTGTGCAAAGCCGAGGAGGGAGCAGACACAACTTCCAAGTGCCTCATAGCCTTCTGAGTTCACAGTTGTTTACTCAACAGCTTTCTAAGTTGGAAAATGAAAACTCCAATTACATGAGCTTGGACTTGTGTAAGCATGATAAAACCAAGAGTCTCACCTTCCCCATCATTCCCTGGGCTAAGGAGTTAATGTGACCTCTCCGACTACTTTTCCCTGGTGTGTACAGAGAGCATATGTAGTGAGTACTCCACAGGATAGCCCAAAACATGATCTGAGTGTTAATTAAGCACCCATATAACACAGAACATAACGGGTTTTTTTCCTGTCTTGCACAGCTGCATAGCACAATACACTTGAGATTGTCAGTAATGATGTTTCCTTTGCATACCTTAATTACATATTGAATGCTAGTGTATGCATAGGCAAGTTAAGGTACAGCAACATACCAAGTTATCCAAATTTTTGGTGTACAATGGCAATACAGAATTTTAAGGCACATATTAAAAATTTTCCAGAGGAAAACATCTTGCAATTTATTGTAACATACGTAGTAGTATACACCTGAATGTGTTTTTACACAGATAACAGTTAGGTGACTTGCTACAGGTATATTTTATACAATGGTGAATAAAAATTAACCTTTTACAAACAAACCAATTCAATATGTTTTCTTCAAAACAATATTAAGTGTGTGGCTATGAAAACACATAAAAAAAATTTTAAAAATCATTTACCACAGCATAATATTTTTATGACTGGAGAAAAAGAAAAAATTATGTACATAAATACATATATTTTATATATAGCAAATTACAGTTTCCTGCACTGAACATTTATCAAATATACAAGTACTGAACAATACTGGATAGGGTGCTTTGCCACACCTTGTGGTCTCTTTAAATTCCTGTGAGAGTGGAAGACAAGTTTCTACAGAGGATACAACTTGTTCAGTGGTGCAAGCTCACATAACAATTTAAAAAGTAAAGAAAAAAACCCACAACCTACAGCAGAAATGTCTGATGTTCCCAGCACAGGCATCTTTAACAACAAAATGAGAATGTCCAACTGTTCTTCAAGCACATGTTCCAACACAGGATCTGTGTCAGAGACCTTAATTCTGTATGACAAGCCATCACCTGCCAAGGGCGATACATTTGGACAAGAAATCTAATGCTCAGCTTTGTCCACTGGCTTGTCAAAGCCATCATCTTTCTGATAGTCAGATTGGTCTATCAGGCAGTGAAGAGTCACCTTTTAGATCCCCTACAGAAACTGTACCCTTTTGCTTGGACCTGGGCAGCCACTCCCATGAGCTTCAGATCGAGAATAAGGCACTATCTGGTTTTCTGGCCATTAACTTTCCAAGGCTCTAGGAACTGTGGTTATGATCATGATGGGAGATTTTAAAAGGGGTGACACCAAGCTATTTTTGAGGACTATGTACAAAGTTATTTTGGTTTTGAAAATAGGAAGCATTCACACCACACATTTCATTTCACCTGGCCAGAAATGCTAAGCTCAGGTTTCTTATGCATAAGTAACGATCCTTACTGAAAAGGATGACATAAACTCCATTGGGTTCTTGTGACCTTACCAGAAACTGTTTTCAAAGTACTGCAGTTACTAGCCAGGAATAACAATCCCATTTAGATGTTTTTTGGAGCACACAATACAAATATTTATGTCATAAAAAGCACTTGGTTGTCTCCACAGGTTAGTGATGTCTGGAACTTGGGGGATTGTAAATCCAGTCTATTACAATAAGAGTCATACTCACAATCATGAAGATTATGCCAACTATGAGAAAAATCAGAGCCTGCAATTGGAAAATGAAATGTTATTAATGAAACAACTGACTGTCCCACTGGAGCCACATTTATATAACACCCAGGGCCTGAGTATGGGTGTGAAAAAAAAACTATGACTAAAGCCCAAGTAATGTTGTACATGAATCAAAGTTAGTCCTGTGTGAATTTCAGTCCAAGAGAGCCAGGCTTTACAAGGCTAGATATGAAGACAACCCCTTTGTTACTGTGAACAATAATACAAAACATGACACAGGAACAGCTTTTCTTTTTCTTTAAAAATTGATGAATTTTCAATAAATTATCATAGTCTCTGACATTAAGAACAGCTTCATAGTTAATCTGTTTTATGCTTATTAGACAATCATATTTCTTATCTAAAAGTATTTCTGTGTATATTCAAGTGATTCAGATGCTTGTAGTCGCTCTCTGGTTTACTGGGGTTTTAGTTTATCATAATCTGTCCACAGTTAATATTATTCTGCCTTGCAACACAAAGATGAATATTGTATGTAATCTCAGTGCAGGGTGTGAAATTCTAGATGTGCCTAACACACAACAACGTGAAGAGTAAGCAAGGAGACTTGAACAAATATTCACAGTCTCTCTAGAAAAACATTTCCAAAAGCCATGGTAGAAATAATTTCATGATAACAAACCTCTTCTTTTATACTTGCAGTATGTATTGGTTCACTTTCATGGTTTTTTGTGAATATATGTATAGATATATATACATGCTCACCTGTTTATTTATGTGCCTGCCTATATATTTCATTAATAACCTTTCTAATTAAATTTTCAAAGAACATTTCCTTGGTGATAGTTAAGTGTGCAGACAGTTATTGATGTTCAGGATGAAAGGTATTGCAGTGGCAGTCCAGTATGACATACAGACACATGCTGTACATAAATGATATATGTCTCCTGTAGGTGTATGGATCTGTCTCAGAAGGGAAATCACTATTACTTATTTATCTCTGCAGTACTAGCATGAACCAACAGTTTCTTATACGCTTATTTAGTCTTGGTGCTATTTATGCAAATGCAGGTGTTAACTAGACCTTAGATCAGATTAAATTAAATGTCTTTTTATAGTGGTTTAAGACACACTTTATCCTAAATACTTAGTGTTGTGTATCAAGAGTAGTAGGGCACTAAAGGCTTCAGCTTCACACTGTCCAACCTATATTTTGAGTGAAATGCTACCATTTATGAGCAACTGCCACATGTTGCAAGTCAAAGGTCTGAGTATTTGTGACCAGTGGAAAGCACACACCCACCCACACTTATTTTTGCAATTGCTGCCAGCTCTCTTACCCCTATCTTCTGGGGAGACCTCAGGGGTTCCTTCTCCACAAGACGCAGGTAGAAGGCACCAGGGAGGATGAAAATCAACATCGTAGCAGAAGATGCTCCTGGAAGAGAAAGTAGAGTTGAAACCGTCTGTCAGAAAAGCAATGTGGTGCACCTGCCAAAGAGAGCAGGTGGGAAGGCAGTTGCTGTTCCAAGCCCAGCTGCACAAAATGTTCTCTCTGTAGACAGCATTCATGGAGAGCTGTAGATGTCCAAACACTTGTTTGAACGCTTGGGGCCTGAAGAGACACTTGTTACTGAGAGGCTTTTTTCAAACTGATGTCTGCATGTCAGCTGGTGAAGCAAGGACAAATAGACTGCCAGGGTGGGATGACCCTGGAAAGCAGGTATCGAAAAGAGAGTGGATGATCTGTGTCTAGGAAGTTCCTACTCCTCTCTGCCCAGCAGAGCCCATCATGGTGGCCCAGGCACAACAGGCAGGGAGGAGCAAACCAGCTGCAGAAAGCCCATGGAGGTGTCTTTGTCAAGGGCTTCTGCATTCATGAGTCTTCAAGCAGCTCAGAAGACAGAGGCTCTTCATGGACCTCTTTGATCAGAGGCCAAAACTGACCAAAAGAAAAAGGTAGGGAGAGAACTGTGAATGTCAATATAAATGTGTCACTTCTCTCCTTTTTCTTATGTCAGTACGTTTTGTTCAGGCTATAGGTGCTTGAAAACCAAAGATGATTTCCCACTTCTCCACATATATGAAATAACCTTTTTGTCAAAATGGGGATTCCTTACCAGTTTTTATACTGGGATTATTGGATTCCTTGTGCCTCATGAAAGGTAGCAACAAAACTGGGTAGCCTTCAGCTGTGTATGTCAGTTGTTTGGGAATGATATCCCTTTTACCTTTAATCTGTGTTTATATTACTATACGGTGAGACCCAAACTGAGACTGTCATGCAGTCCATGAATGTAAATATGTTCTAAAAAGAATTAACAAAGTGTTTATGAAACCTACCAATAAATCCAAAGATGTCTTTAATAGTTGGAACAAAAATTACAAGCAGGTTATTAAAAGCCAGAATTACTGCTGCAATCAGGAAATGTCTTATCCAGCTGAATGGCCTTTTGGGAAACAGCAACGCACTGATAGATGAACGGATCTGCAAGACGAAAACCAGCAGGGAAAGTAAAACAATAATTAATTTTTCTTCACTTTTCACTTTTAAAAATGATCTATGTTATTTACTTTTGCTGTGAGAAATTCTGACTGAAAAAATGTGTTTTCAGTCTTTGATTCCCATAATGTAATCTCACTCTGATGTAGGTTTTTGAGAACTGAGTTCACAGTTTAATGTAGAAACTCAAATATTTGAAGTGTAGAAGAAAATCAAGTAAATAGGGTGTAAAATCCAGGATATGAAATCTGTTCAACTGAAAGATGCTAATATTAGCAACAAACACCCAAAGAACTCCCCACTATGAATACTAATCAGCAAGCAAAAAATTCATGTGTGAAATAGGAGTTCCTGTGTTCCTGAACCTGATCCCTCTGAAAATCCCACAGGAGTTCTGTCATTTACTTTTCTGAGAGAAAGAGGAAGCTGTTGGTTTACTTTCACTAATTATATACATATACGTATCAGAAAATAAAAACATATTTTTCAATGCCACTCGGAAATTATAATCCTAAAAGCTGCTGCAGAGGATCCTTTTTGCTCCACTGACTTTCTCACACAACACAGAATTTTTTTGCTTTTTCATCATAAAAGATGGTAAGTAGGAAAAAGGTCAAAAGCAAATCCATTTGATGGCTGGAGGTAGTGTTACTCTCAAGTACCATGATTAACTTAAAATTCAAAATGTAGAAATTGAACAACAATATTTTTACACTGTAAAAAAGCTCCAAACCCACTTCTGTTTTATTCTTTTAAAATAATATACAACTGTTTCTGGGTGAGTCTGGCAACTGAATAAATGTATAGGGTTCTGCCAGACTTGGAGACCATCACTTGAAAACACAGCATGAATTTTGTATTTTATGTTTTTCATTTTGTTGTCAGCCAATATTAGGAAGAGAGAGGCAGATTGCAAATATTTTTTCCAGCCCCTGAGTTGGTGTAAAACAGCTTTATTGAAGCAAAAAACTGCTGCCTATGTTTCTGTGTACTTACTCCCAGCAGCTTGTCCGTTATACCTTCTGTGATGTAGTCCTTAAAAAGGATTTATCAGTTGGAAGTTTTACAGTGACTAAGGGTATGTAGATCTATAGTTTATTTTTTTTTAACCATGAAATGAATTTTTTTAAAAGAAAAAACTCTGACTACTTTGAGAAAATACAAGTGCAGTAATGAATTACAAAAGTAGTTGAAATAATTATATTGCTTATCTGGAGTAATAATATCTGCTGTGCTGGCTGTCCTAATAGGCTATGTAAATCTCTTTGATATTCTGGCTTGCAAGCAAATGATATTTTCTCAGGAGTCTTCTTAACAGAGCAATTAGTGCTGTGGTATGCAAATATTAAGACTTCCCACACTATTCAGATATAAAAATGATTTTACAGAAAGTTAAAACGAAAAATGCTACATCTGACAGACAGAGGCTTTTGCAATGCCCTTAGCTTGTTTTCCCATGAAGCGCAATCAGTTTGTTAATACTAATTTAAACATTTAACCACTGGTTTAAACAAGACATTTAAGGCAGAGCACTGGTGTTCTCCAAGCTACAAGAACCTATCGCTCTGGGTCCTTAATACCAGAACTTACTTTTGGATAGACAACACTGAACAGTGATTACTGCTCTAAGGCATTTGTCAGCAAGCCTGGAAATAGTATCTGCACAGACCATGCATTGCATCCAGGGAAACGGATCAACAGGACCCCAGGGTTACTGTTCTCATCAGATGGGATCCCTGTGGTGTGACGTGGATTGCAGGGAGCCCTCTGGCAGCATGATACTGGGCTTGTACTTGCCGTACAAATGACACACCAGCCTCCCAAAACCTAATCACCAGGATCAGCTGTTTTCTCCCCAGCTGCATAGCCCCTCAGGGAAGGCATGACAGACAGTCCTATGCATTCAGGAGCTTAGAGGTCTGCTCTTCAGGGGAGATTGATCCCTGAGGAGGGTCAGTCCCTCTGCAGAGCTGCCGACTCCCACCCCAGCACAGAGCTGTTTGGTTACCCGTGTCTTTCTGTCCCTGCTACTATGGATATTTTGTTTTTCCTGTGAAGAGAACACAGAAGCTCCAAACTTTGCACAGACAGCTGACTATGTGACTGAGTCTTGTATGCCTCTGTTTTCTGGCATTTAGCTTCCTCCCATGTCCAAATACTCAAGCATGTAAGGTGACCACAGGGCCTCTGTCCCTCTGCTTTGGCAGCTGGGTCTGGGAGTCCTGCACAATGTGTGACCTGAGATTCACATGCCTGTCCTGAGTTTGGATGCTATAGTAGGTGCCTATATTTCTATTAAGAAATCTCGTAAGTGGTTTCAGTATATCCCCATCTTTGGTACTTAGCGCTTCTCTGATAAATATAGTACAGAAAAAGCCAGAGAGACAGAGAAGTCATTCCTGATTTATTTATAAAGACTGATTTATTTCAGTCTTTCAAATTTTGCAACCCTAACCGCCTAAGGTCCACGCTCTGATCAAACTGCATATGAGGAAAACAGACCCTTCTAAATAAAAATTCAGACTTATTTTTCTTCAAAGTCTTTTCTTCAAATGTCTTCAAATGCCTGTGCTGTGGACATGCAGTCAGTGTATATGGGCTAGCCCTGATTTCAGCTTCAGCAACTGTGTTACTTACAGGGAAAAGGACAAGGGGCACAGTCAGGGTTACAGCCACCAGCACTGCCAAGCGAACTGACAGCAAAAGGGTGTCGAAGGTGTACACTTTAGTGTACGTATGAAGTAGCTCATCTTCAACTTCTCCTACAAAAAGGAAACAGAAAGGAGCTAAATCACTTAAGCAATATCTGAACATGAAAAAAGATCTTTGTACTACAGCAAGATAAGATTAGCTTTATCCCAGCCACTGTCATTAGATACGTGTTATGGGCTAGACATTAAAGAGGAATTTTCCCACCATGACAGATACAAGTCCATCATTCAGAGATGATGAGGTGATGCTTTGTACTCTAGTATCTTTGAAATGACTTTAAGAAAGACTTTGAATGGATATAGAAGCTGAAGTAAAATTAATTTCTGTGATATGAAATATGAAACAACTGAACTGGTGACAGCTCCCTTTGACCTCCACACACATGTCCCAGCTCTCAGACAGAGCTCTCTTGGCCCAGCGATAGGGAGAAGATTGTGCTGTATCATTCATTTCTTTGCTGCATGGAGGAACTAACGAGCTAAAAAGAAGTAGCGTTTGCATAAAATGGTGTACTAATAGAGGGACTACTCTGTTTGCCTATCGGTTAGTCTAGCTCATCCATATTTTTTACAGTAGAATGATTTGCACCTGTTTTTCAGCATAGATGAATCTGAACTAGTGGTGTCAGAGCCAGATTGGGTAGCATTTAATAGTGTCATGTAAAACTGTTGAGCTCTAGAGTATTTTTAGTACGGTCACTCTTGGCCTTTGACAAGAGCCAAGTTTACAGCAGCTTCTTGTCTGAGTTCACAAAGCCAAGAGATACACAACTTGTCGCCCTAGTAGATGCCTCTGAGTCTCTCAAAGGTGAGGAACTGGTGGTCTGACAGCTGGAGAAGTGTCACAGATCATTCAGGAGATTGCACACTCCTTATTGTAATTGAATGTTGCTTACACTTGGATTTGAGCCCACAAAAAATGCATTAGTACTTGGGCCTCTGAGATAGAACCAGCTCACCTGCTTGAAATGACAGGGAAAATTCTGCAGAAAACAGGGTTTTGACCTACCATAGAAGGTAAGGTATCCAAAGAGGGCAGCCAGAAGATACATGATAAGCATGCCAGTGATGGAGATATTTGAGACATTCTGCATCCGCTTTCGGGAGCGACTGAAGTACAAAAGAAAGAGAGTAACAGTCCTATAAAGCCTCCACTTGTACAATAAGTACTCAGAAGTATCTTAGCTCTCTGACACATCCTCCCTTGCTAGTAAGTTCATAGCAACTGTATTGGTTACACAAAGCTGTTGATGCTTTACAGCTCTGTGCAGAGCGTCATAGACTTGTGCTGAAACTCTGTTTCTATTGCTTTCTTACTGACAATATAAAATGCGCCACATTATTTTGTATATCATTATTTATTAACTATCAATCTCAGTGTATTTTAAATAAAAAAAAAACAGGAGGGCTAAAATAACAGGACCGGTAGTAAGAATAGGCAAGAGCTTTTAGCCAGCTCTATATGAACATACCCTTATATCTACATAGGGCTGTTCTGCAGGTTCAAGAACCCCTTGCAGGTCAAATCCTTTCTTCATAAATCCTTTGGTTAAAGATAATCTTCATCTTATAGGACCTGGAAACATGTTCCCAAGTTATCTGAGAATTTTTATTGCTTCTGAGGTTAAACCTGCTGAAATAGGAGCTAATGATACATAACCTCCTTGAGTTTTGCAGTACGCTCTCTTGTAATATATTTTTTGCTGTTCAACAAATGCCTTTGATTAGTGCTTCCCAGCTATCAACTATGTGCTGATTTAAGCAAGTGTATTTGATTTTTGATATTTCTTAAGCAAAATAGGCTGGGTGAAGAGACTACGTGAGACACCCAAAGCAATGGCACCCCAAGAAACTTTAAGAGTAAGTAGCAACTGGCACAGACATACAACTCATTAAGGTATTATTAGAAACAAGAATTATCTGCTTCAGTGCAACAAAGTTCTCCAGTTTATTTCACATCCTTTAAAGAACTGTCCACATTCCTCCTTTCCTAAGTAAACAATGATCAATACTATGGTTCTCTGTCACCCATATCTGACTACAAGGTCAAAGCCAATATCTGCTTTATATGTAAAGCAATAAATCATTATCATGTGTGTGTTTATACATCTGCAGTCAAGAGGCAACATGTAGAAAATGATCTCTAGATATGGTTAACTGGAAGTATTGGACAAAATTTAAGAACCTTACTCTTTCAGTTCACTGTATATTGGTAGCACCTCAGGGTGGCATACGAATGCAAATGCCAGGATGGGTATTGCATAGGCAGTCTGTAAAATAAAGTTCCCATTAGTAAGAATGGTCATGGTTGTACCTCTGACTTTTGGCAGCCAGCAGTTTAGCTGTAGTCCAAATGGTTAAAGACAAAGTCTACAGAATCTCCCTTACCCGTGAGTTGAACACAAAGTATTTTGGCTGACACTTGTCACTGCTGTCACTATGCGCTTCATATTCTACACTGCTTTTGGGGGAGGTATCTTTTGGCTCCTCAAGGCCTGGCAAGTGCCCAGCTGTGTTGTCCATCATGAAATTCACACCAGAACCAAGTGACTCGTTTGGTAACATGATCAGGTGCATTGGCACTGTGTTATTGGTAATGGTCCAGTTTTCAACCCCATGGTCCATGATAGGGAGAGGACAGGGTATTTGGGATTTCTTGAATATTACCTACAAAAGAGTAGACAATGTCATCAGAAGAGTACAACTGTAGGTGATTAGACACCTGGGTATTCCAACAGAAGTATAAACAGGCACACAGAAGAGAGAGGGGAAATAGAGGGAGCTAGAAATCAAGTGTTACCACTTCTGCTTCTCTTGCAAATATTTGTTGTTAATCTGTCTTTACTGTTGTCCCATTTTATTTTTTATTCTCAAGTGTTTTTTAAACTGATTTTTTTTATTCTGATTTCAATCAGCAATAGGCTTGTTGATTGGATTCACTTGCAGGTGCTATTCTAACATCCACAATAAATTGTCATGGTAAGAAACACAACAGTGTTTAAGGGTTTGCAGGTTCTGTATTTGCTAAGAGACAACACCCAAACAGTCACCTACCACACTGACAAAGAAAACCATACAGGTCAGCGAAAACCCACTCGTATAACCAAGATAACCTGTGCAGTAAGAAAAACAAAACAAAACAAAAAAGAAACCAGTTCAGCTACATATATATTCACAATCCTAATAGAAATAAAAAAGGAGCTTAAACGGTGCATTAAGCTTACCTAAGGTTTTTAGAAGGGAGAGGGGAAGAATAACCACAACTGTTACAAGTATGACGAGGTAGTTCCCGTTCAGGTACCATTCTCTAAAGAGAATGAATAAAAATAACAACAAACATCATTGACATCAAGGTGGAAAATTTTCATCTGAGTTTCAGGTTGGGAAAAGGTACCTACCCAGAATTCTCCTCAAGTTTCATAAATGCTCTGATGACTTCTGGAAGTTCATATTTAATAATAAAGAGGTAGCTTGACATTGCTGAGAAAAAAACAAAACAAAACTGAAAAATTAAACACCTTCAGGGAAAACAGTAGTTTCAAAATAAAGAAAAAAAAAAGGTTTTTTTCAAAAGGAGAGAAATGAGTTTTGTTCAAATGAAAGTGCAACTAAATAAATGATGTGTGCCCTTCAAATTGTTATGAACATGTCCTGAATGACATTAGAATGACATTAGAATGACATTATTGTATTAGAATACAATATAGTTACTACTGAATTAACAGCATACTTAAATCAGTCTTAACTTTTCCTTTTACTCTTTTGTTGTAAATGTTGTTTTTCCAGTGGACACTGTCCATCCCCATTCTTTAGTAACTTAAGTTGTTACTAACTCTATATTTGTTCAGCTACCTTATCCTCCCTATTTTCAACTTTTTTCTTCTAACACTCTTCTCCGTATAAAAAGAAAACAACTAGTTGTCAAGATTCTTGATGGAAGAGTGGACTTCTGTACACCTCATTTAAATGTACTTCCAAAAGGAATGCTTTTTTTCAGTTGTTTTACGTTTGCCACAGAGAGATCTCCAGAGACCTATAAATCAATCTAGACAAGGACTAGAGGAACAACTATTCTTCTTTAATAGGAAGCATGCTTCATTCTCGAATTCAATCAATTTGATATTTAGGCTTGAGGAAGGAAAGGAAGACCATAGAATAGCACCTTTATGAACAAAATCCAAAAGTCTTTTGCAGTAGAGAGATGTGAACTACCTCTATCTGGGTAGCAAAGTTGCTATAAAAGGACCATAATGATGTGTTGATGGAGATTTGCAAAATATAGCAATGGAGACAAAATAGAGACAAATAGAGACAAAAATATATACATACATTCAATTGACTAATGGTATATTTAATTTAAATTTCAATTACTTCTCCTTAAGTAAAATCTGTAAAAAATTATAAACTCCCTTGAGCTTTCCATCATCTAAAAGGCTCCTTCTTCAGTGTCCTAAAAGGTTTCTTCCAGGATAGTAAAAGGAAACAAGCTTCATTGCATACAGTCCTATCTCTACTATTTATATTGGTAAGTAAACAGCCTCCTGTCCTGACAATGAAGATTACTTGATTCACAGGAGGTATCTTTGTAGATATTACTTGTTTCACAGGAGGTATCTTTGTAGGTGAATACATTAAAAACTTACTTTTAAACACACAGCATCTTCAGGAGAACACAACCCAAGTGTTATTTCAAGGAGAGAATTAAGCTGAAAAATGACCTACTGAAGAGCCTTTTATGGATAAGACAGAACCATGTGCTGTTCCTTTTACATTGGACTAATCTTTTCTAAGTTGAAGCAGATGGTTCAATTAGATGCTAAGAAGAACAGTCTGAGTTGTACTCAATAAAGAGAAATGATCAATTCCTGGAAGACAGTCAGCCAGGCCACTTTGACCATCACTGAAATCTTTCCACTGGCCATGGAGAGATCCCAGGTAACTGTCTTTCACCATACACTGAAGTGTCAGGTAGCTGAATCAAAGTGATATTAACTCCTCGTGTCCTTCCTTTTTGCAGTGCAGTGTATGCTGTATCTGGCTCAACTCTGATGCCATTTAGCCAGACAGAAGGAAGAAAGCACTTGTGTTCTGTAGAAAAGCATTGGAAGATAGAAAATTCTTTCCCCTACCTCCAATGTTCTGCATTGTAACTGAAATGAAAACACCGCACTTTCCAGGCCAGCCAAATGCCTTTTCTCCCAGTTTTTCATATATTAATGATCCTGAAAAAAATACAAAATGAAAAAAAAAAAAAAAAACAAACCCATGAGCCACTGCATACTTGATGAATTGCATTCCAAGGTAAAATACGTGCAGCAGGGACTCTCTATCAGCCACAGCCTGCTCTCATACCTCCTTCTTTTGATATCTTCAGTAAGAGGTGGACTGAGTAGAGTGACAATATTGCTACGCTGAGCAGCAAAACTCTGTAAGGCAAAGCAGAAATTAGAATCCTAAGCAGGACATCAGAGACAGTGGATTTGAACTTACACTTGATAATTTTCATGAGTTTCAACATATAAATAGTTTTCAGCGTGTTTGTTCTTTGTTCTCCCAGTGCTAAATGCAGAGATAAGTGTCAGCTGTAGCTTACTTGTAAGTACAGTTGCACCTTATACACTCCAAAAGCCCCTGAAGGCTTGTTTAAGTCCAGTAGGTGCCACTTCTGTGCTATTCCACAATGACAGAATCTTGTATCTTAACAAGATCCTACTAACAGATTTCTATTCAAGAGTCTGGTCTTTGGACTCTTACCTGCTCCTTGACCTCTCAGTTTCATATCTTTCCTTACTCAGAGCTGTCACAAAAAAAAACACCCCGAAACCCCAAACCAAAACCAAAACCAAAACATGACTGTGAAAACTTCACAGCTATCTCCCAGGTGGTTACTGCTTTTGGCTTCTGTCATATCATTGTGGAGTTAGTTGCCTGCTTTGCAAGTACATTAAAAACTTTGCATAATGTTAAAGCATGGCATGATACTGGAAAACCTGCTCTTGGAGCACTTGTAGCTAAGTCTTCTAGTCTAGTCTGCTTGAAGGTACTGGTGCCCAAATTCATTAGCTTGATTACTGCCATGTTCCTTCCACACAGCATTTGTATCCAGTGATTTCAGCCTCTTACAAACTGCTGGTGAAAAATGTAGCTTTGTGTGACATATTCAGGGCACAACACTGTGGGCAGTACATCTTATTGCCATAACTGTCTTGTCATCAGCCTGCACAAGTGCTGGTGCAGAAGGGAATGCGATTATAACGTGACAGAGCTAGGAAACAGATGTGCCTTACTCCACGGCTGAACAGGAGGCTGTGCCCACACCTTCCACCCCCCTGAACATGCAGTTTGGTATAGATATGGGAGACACTGACAGCTAAGTTCATAAATGAGTTACAATCTAAGATCAGACCCAGGATCTGGGGCAAGGTGATGGCTACCAGACCATCACAATTTTTTCTGAAGTTTCTCCCTTTGACAGAGACAGACAGTACTACAGCCTTCATGGTGAGAAGGGCTGCCTGTCGTGATGCAGACTCACACGATATGGTAAGGGGGGGTCATGCCTGAGATTACAGTGTATCCTGCTGAGATGGTGTCCTTCTTGATCAGGGGAACCCTGGAGCATGCTGTTCATGTTTCCATGTCCTGACACACGAGGTAGGGTAAAACAAAGTCCTCCTGCTTTCACTGGTTAAATCATGCCAGGCAGCAGAAGTGACACTCTTGTGCAATCTCTGTGCCATTGTAAACCTCCTCCACAGGAGGAATGTAACGGGAAGTTCCGGAGAGCTTCTGAGTTTTAGGAACCCTCCTTTTACCTTCACCCTGTAGAACATCTTCCATCACAAAAGTGCTTGAGCAACATGAGAAGAGTAAATTACAAAAAATGTAGACGATTCTGCCAGCATCATCTAAATTAGAATAATGTCCAGCAGTTTCCGTTTAGGTAGATGGGACTTTTCTGTCTCAGTAACACTAACGCTGTGATCTGTGAAAACAGAGGAACTTCCAGCAAGTGGATACAAGCCAGGGGAGAAAAAATATCCACACAAAAGTTTATACTTTTAAATAAAACTCCTTCCTCTACCAGTAGGGAGAATATTTTCATGTAGGAAATACGGAAATAGAATAGAAAACAAAGCAACCTCTGGGTGGAGATGCCCTTTTTCTGGTTGTTTAAATCTTCATGTAGTGCTTTAGCCTTACACCCTGCTCCATCACTGCTAACAGAGCTCATGTGATTATGCTCAGATTTTTTTTTAGCCACCTGTGTGAATGAACAGAGCTTAAAAATACTGATATTACAAAGATAATGTTTTTTTTCCCACTAATGAGGCTTAATGTATCATGGTTTTCTTTCCAGTGATAATTTATGGACATACTAGTTAGTACAAGTGCTCAGAGAAAGCTGGAGAAAAGAAAAACTCCTACATTTTTCTAACCCCGATGCGGACAATTTTAGAACCAGCTTTCATTTTTGATCTGCAAATACTATGTCTAAGCCAGTAGAGTGCAGGTGTTATGAAGCACTTACCCAGAACAGCGTTTGAATATTCAATTAATTTTCAGTTAAAAATTCTACTGGCAAAACAGGAGATGTTACTTAGCAACTGGAATCTACACGTAGTATTTCAAATGCTGTTTCTCTTGTAGTTACACAGTCTTCACAAGCAAGAAGCGATATAAAAACAGCCAAGCAACCTGGTTTAAAGGCTTGCTAGATTTCACTAATGTCAGATGATGGCCTAATACTATCCTTATTCTACTCTCATGGGAGGTTAAATTAACACTTCAGTTAAAATTAAAACCAGCTATAAAAAAAGGAAACCCAACATTTTTCCTTGGTATAGTCTGTCTCATTAAAATGCTTCAGAGGTTAGACATCTATTAAAAAACTTACCATGGCTATCTGTTACTGTCTATCAAAACCCATTCTGTACAGATACTGCCAGCCACATACTATTGCTTTCATCTGTGCAGATTGTGTACAAATAGACTTGAGGGAGCAACATTAAATCTGGATAAATCTCTGAATGCATTTACATACAAAGCATGTTGCTATTTCAGATTACACTGAATATTCTTCTTTTATTTCTACATAATGATTAGATAGTTGGAATGGTGTAAATATATTTACGGGTGATTTAATTCCCTTGTTGGACTCCCATAATGAACCAGCAAGATTGCTAACTTTATTTTAGGACTGGTATACTGTCTTTCCTTCTGTTTATTGATTGCACAGTGTCAATTCACAGTTGTGTTCCTGATACAGAACAGGTCTAAAATATAGGGAAAAAAAGGCTTTTCAGCAGTGGTTCCTTGTGGTTTAATTACATAGTATCTTAAAAAACCTTTCAGCTAACAAAACAAGCTTAACATACCTCTCTAACCATAAAAGCTTCATTACCAGCTCTGTTCTTATATTCTATTTGTTTTCTTTCTATGTACTTACACGAAAAGGATAATTCCTGTGTTGGCCATGGCATAGGAGAGCCCTAAGATGCCGCTGCCCATAATGGCATTGCTGAGGTTGAACGAGGACATTCCAAAGGAGGTTCTACCTCCATGCTGTTGGGTGCAAAACCAGAAAATGGCAATTAATTTGCATTTTACTGAGCAAGACAGACTAATCTTCCTCATTGCTGGATTTCCCTGTACTGGTCCCTTGATCTTTAGAGATGGAGCTTTTTCAAGGTTCCCAAGTCCACAGATGCTTGCCACCATAAGGAGTCTCTTTACCCCCAAAGACAGCTATGGTGGTAGTGTTTACCTCTTCCCACTCTTCAGTTGTCTCAGAGGGGAGCAGGGCTACATTCCACAGGTGACTGAGATGACACAGTTACAATGGCTGTGGTGGCTAGCCTCTGTAGAAATACATGCTGCTATCTTATAGATTACCCACCAATTGATTTTAAAAAATCAGTTTGGTTGTTTTTTTTTTTTTTAACTTAATACAACTGATTTTTGAATTTTTCCCCAGGTAGGATGTGCTTCTTTCTCTGAGGAAACAAAAGTGTGTCTGGGGGGAGAAAAAAAATGAGGGCTGGGTGTCTGGGGCTGGAGGCAGGTGAGTGGAAGAGGACAAAACCTAGGACAGGGAGGATGACGCTTTATGGAGTTACAACTGACACCAACTGGAAAAGAAAAAAGGGGAATATGGCTCTTAATTTTAGCTTACAATCACAAATAACATATTTTGGTTTTATGTGATCAGTTCTAATAAAACCTGTAACACAATCAATAAAATAATGTCTTTCTTTTCATTAAAGTCATGAAAACTTTGAATAAAGTTAAATCCTGAGTGGACAGGTACCCACATCCACATCCCAGGAACTGGTGCTGTGCTTCCACTTGCACATGGAGTTGTCTAAGGAGTGAGAGGTGCACTGAGCATGTAATGCTCAGCATCTTAAAGACAAAACAAGAATGTCCTTTCTTTAAAGCAATGCAGCTGGATGTGTATTCATTTACGCTGATGCTGGAAACAAACGATACAAGCATGCACACACTAAGGCTCTGATCTACCTGGCTTTTGGAGGAAGAAAGTCCCTCTTAACCAAATGTCTTGTCAGAAAAATGGATGCAGACCTACAATAGCTGAACACAGGTGAGATTACATGGGTGCTACTGAAGTTCAAGTGTGATCTCAATAATTTTTCTGATTACTTGTGAAAGAAAGACCCAGTTTTACTTGTAAAACAACAGAAAGGCTTTGTTGCACTAACTGTTAGAAAATGCATTTATTCTTTGAAAGCCAAAGTTATGTTGATCAAGTGACTTTGTTTACTGGAACTTTTAGAAAAAAGATTCAGGTTAATAAGACTTATTTTGTAATTATTCATTAATTCATTAAAAATGAATAAAACTTACATATTCTTCATTATAGTCTTCCAGTTTCTTTTTATCCAGATATCCATTTGTAAGGAACTTCTGACTTTCTGCATCTTCACTAGCAAATGGATTGAACACAAAGAATAATAAGAAGATATTAGATAAAACTTATAACACATATTTTATTCTAGTAATACCTTTTGTCATTAGTGGGAACTTTCCTTTGACATTGCAATAAATATTTAAAAATCCTTCAGAAAACCGCTCTCTTCTCCTGTAAGATTCTCATGTCCAATGGCATGTTTAAAAGATCTTTGCTTTGCCTTGGAATTTAGTTTTAAACCCAGTAATCTTCAAATTATATCTGATTGCAGATGCTGGAAAGTAGAATTCCATACAGCAGTGTGCTAAAGCTGAGCACATACTTCACATCAGAGCAACAAAGCCTCTTGCAACTGCCCTGTTGGACAAATGTGGTGGGGAGTGCAGCAAGCTGAGAGCTGGAGGCCAATGGCTGGTTTTGAGATGTCTTTCTCCAGTCATACAGGTGCTACTGCTGTGGTGTGCTCTGCTGGATCACCTGAGGGTGGACTGTCCCTGTGGGAGAACTGAGCTGCTGAGGTTGCACTGCTCTGAGAGTGTATTAATTTACGCATGTACTATCTGACTGGAGTGATTGGAAATTACCAAAGGGCTGGGAACCTGCAGAGGTCACTCCAGGTGGTGGCAAGGAGGAACCTGGGCTGCCTTGGATGTACTGGGTGCTCTGTCCTCCAGAGCGCAGTGGGGAGGGTCACTGCTGTGGGAAAACTGTCCCAGATACCGTTAGTGAAGCTTGTTTTTTGATTACTGTTTTCTAGCCTTAACAGAACACTTAAATGCTTACCTCCTAATTGCAGCCTTTTCTGAATCAACCAGCTCTGTGTAGTTGTCTTCGAGGCTTTCCCCACTGTTGCTCTGGTTGTCAAGCTCAATGTTGACTTTTTGCAGCTCCATACGATCCATTAGAGAGGTCAGCGCTTTCCAGCACACACACTCGCTTCTTCAGGGTAAACAGCACCGTGCTGTCTGCTTGCACCTCTCTGTCATGCAGGGACTGCCAGAACACTCTGTTCTGCAAACAAAACACACTAGAACTCATTAGAATTTTCTTCAAATTAGATAAATCAGTGTGAATTGTTCAGTTTGTGTTTGATCTTGATAATAACATTAAGAGAGGAAACTGTTACAGACTGGGAAAATTCTAGGCAAGCATAAAGGTTCCTTTATATGCCAGCACTCGGCCCTCCTGCCTCCCATAAAATGGTAAAGTGTCAGGCCAACAGATGCACAGTGGGTGTCCAGCACCTGGCAAAAATACAAAGGCAGAAGAACATAATTTACTTAACTGCTTCTTTTGAATTTCTAGGAGAGGGTGATGCAAAAGTGTTTGCTGTTAAAAAAGGAGTATAGCAGTACAGCACGCTTTCCCAGTTGTTGTAAGATTAATGCTGTCACAGGTTTAAATGTATTGTAGACTTGTCCCTTTCACTGGGATCTGACAGAGGTGAGCATTCCTGTATGATCACTTTTTGATGATTGGGAAGTGCAATTCTGATAGACCAGTTTCTGGTTTTCAGGGTACTTGTGTTTAATTCTTACCTGAGTCTGTCAGAAAAATTCCTGCCTTTTAAAAATCATATGATGCTCAACTCTTTATTTCTTATGGGCCAAATAAAACTGTATAGACCAAATTTACAAAGGGAACTTCACCTCTGGGATTTCAGCAGCTGCATGTTACAGACTCCTCTGTAGATACACACGTGGATTCATTTGCTCATAACCAGACTCAAAGGGAAAAGACTGTGCAAGAAATGCTGCAGTTTTGCAACACTTCTCCCTTCCCAAAGATATTCCTTGAGGTATTTTATATTTCCATTTCACAGCTGAGGGGACACCAGTTAAGGGAGTGAGCACAGACCAGAGAGCGCATTGCTGGCAAGCTTGCAGCCAGCATCACAGGTTCCTGACCCTCTACCTGCTGCCTTGAAATCAGGCACACACCAGCTGTCGCTCTCTCTGGTAGGAATCTAGTGCATTGTGATATTGCTTTCCATTTTCACTTGTCTGGTGTACATGAATGCTTTTAGTAAGAAGTAAGGAATCTGACTTTAATTTATGGCCTGGGGCTAGTTTTAACTTTTTTTAAATTTTTTTTAATTAATTTTTTTTTTTAATTTTAATTATTTTTTTTTTTAATTAATGAAATCCATGAAACAGGCCTGGTATTAGATTTGCATCCTGCAAACACTAATGGATGTAATTATGACCAGTAGTGTCTTGAAATTCAGCAGAACTTTGCAGAGCTGGTTCTTAGTTGGTGGAAATCCATATCTTCAGGATCCAAGCACTGCAGATACTGAGAAGTTTGGGAAGATGTTCAGACACTGGCAACATGTCCTCCCCATGAGTAACAAAAAACAGGTAGAACTGCCACTCCTTCACCTGAGGGGAAATGGGTAACCCTGTGCCTCTGGAGCCACTGCTCAACCTGCAAGATATTTAGATAAAGGGGAATGCACTGGCATCAGGTGCTCAGTTGCACCCCTTCAGGGGTTTGTGCTGGCTAGGCTGCTGCTCCTGGGGGTTGGCCAGGAACAAGGGTGGGGATGGCCAGGAACAAGAGCAGGGATGGCGTGACAGCATGGCCACCAAGGTCAGGCAGGCCTGGGCCTTGCAAGAAGCTTAGCATGTAATATTGGAGGAGAAACACCAAAGTTCATATGTTTTAGCTTCTCTGGGATTTCATGCTTTCTCCTTCTGAGTTCTGAAGTTGGTGCCTAAACATACAAGAAAAATCTCCTAGATTTACAGTGTTCCTCAGACTTGGCTTCAATATGCTGATGGTTTTGCTGCCTCCTGGGACATTTGGCTGAACAGAAAAGATTTTTCTTGAAGTATAATATTAAAATGGAATACTTATTGCAAAAGGCATTTACCTATTATTAGAGGGAAGTTATTTATTTCTATAAAACTGATTTTCCTCTTCAAATATAAGGTACTGTTCTGCATCATTTATTAAGTAATGGTTTTCAGAAATGATTAGGAAAATGATGAAATTTTTGCCGTCTGATTTCACAATGTTATTGATTCCTGTCCAGTCTGCAGTTAGGACATTTAGAGAATGGGCAATCACTTAGTAAATAATGCTGGGTCACAGATATGACTAACACTTTCATGGGTTTTGCAGTATCAGTATTTGTAATCTCCTCTATGGTATCCAATTTAGCAGATTTTGCCAGATTCTTTGTCTTCATGACAGTGACTTTATAATATTATTTTCTATGTGACTATTTCAAAATTAAATAAGTGTTATCACTGTGAAACACATAATTAAAATGTAAAGTTTTCACAAATTCTTTCGTATAAAGAAATGTTAGCCAAGTAAATCAAGAGCCTTGAAAAAAATTCTCAGAAGTTAGCCAAGGGCTGCAAAGGAAAGCAATCATTCATTTCTTAATTGACAAGACAATTTTGAACACTTATGCTGCTTCTCTGGTTTCTTAGATTTTGATTTTCTGTACAAAAGAGAAGGCTAAATTTCATTCCTGGAGAAACACCAAAGATATTTACCAGTGTAAATTATCATGTCAGTAAATCTTAAGGAGCCTATCCTTCACATTGCACTTATATGTACAGGTTAATAAATTTCTAATTCCCAATTTTGGAAGACGTGGGTAATCTCTAAAATACATTGATCAAACATTGTAAAGCAAGAAAGTTTACCTCTGAGTCAAGCAGGTTCTCTTCCTCGCTTCCTAGGCAGGTTATATCTTTTAGGAGTTGTACCTGTAAGGAAAAGTTTGCTCATGTGCAACCTAGAGCAGTTGAACAGTGATTTAAAGACAAATGGGAGTGTATGAGATGAACCAATCAACAGCTGCTACACCCCAACAACTCCCTTCGACAAACTTGCGTCAGCTCTTTTTAAAAAAAAAGGGGAAAAAAGAGAAGAAAGGTAAATCAGTTTACTGGAGCACACTGAGGGCAAACATCTCCGTTACCAGAGCTATTTACTCTCTGAGCGTAGCACTATTACAAAACGCTTGTCCACAGAGTGCTTCACCCAGGCTTGATCACACTTTCATTTCAGTCTTGATTTTTCAATAATGCACATACATGAAACTTGCAGTAGCACAATAGTAATAAGCCTGGAAAACAAGATCTGGGAAAAATACCTATGGGCTCCACGCATCTGTTATCTCTGACTACAGAGATACATCTTGCCCTGCCTGTCTGGGCTTGATCAGAAGTGTGTGCTTTCAAGTGGGTTAGTTGACCTGTGCCTTAGTTTCCCAGTTGAAATATTTACTGTAATTGGAATTATAGAGGTATATGTCAAGTAACAAATGTTATTCATTTAATGACAATATAGGCCTGTGGAGAAATATTTCATTACCAGTGATGTGCCTGTAATACTGTAGAATTTACCAGCTTTCATCCAATTACATAATGACTATAGTTAAAAACCACGATGAACCCTCCAGCCCTCTCTCCCATGTAGTCTTGGTAATTAAAGCCCTCAGACTGGCCTGAGTGAGAATGCTAGGGCCAAAGAGGGGATGTGATTTTTAGTTCTTAGAGTTTCCTGTGGAGCACTCAGACTGCTCTAGCTCAGGCTGCATGACAACCTGTGCGAACCCAACCCTGATCTACTCTGACCAGGGCTTTTGCTTGCTTGCTGCCAGCACTGGCTGTGGTATGCCAGTTTCAGAATTTCCCTCTTTCAAAAAAATCCGAGGTCCAAGATAGACAAATAGTTTAACAAAAATAAGCTCTGACTCTCTCAGTTCTGCATTCCCATGAAAAAATGACTGATTGTAAGGACCATCATGCCATATGATGCCAAAAGTAGTACAGTCCAAAGATTAAGAGCTAGAGGTCCTATCTTGCTTTAAACCTAGCACATAGGTGGAAAAATGAAAAAAATTTTGGGCTTAGAGTTGTTGAAGGCACTTTGAACCTGAAAGCTCCCTGTGTTTTCCAGTGCATCACCTGGTTTAATGAGGGAAAAAGGCTCTCCTTCTAACGCATATTACAAAGAATATGTGTCCTTAAGATATTGAAGCAGTTCTCAGCAGCAGTTTAACACCAAATTGTCCTATGACACTGCTAGGGTGAGGGAGCGGAGCTGCAGGAGGGGCTGGGTGAGGCAGCCCCACTCTGCTTGAGCCTGTTTACTTTGCACACTTGAGAGGGCTGTGGGTATGGGCAGCCTCCATATTGCACTGTTGCTCGTGTGGATGTTTCATGTAACAACAGGGGACAGAAAAACATTTCTTTAAACAAAGGAAAATAAGATTACAAACCATAAAGAAAACAGCAGGGAGTGTTGGGGACAGATGTGCTAACAAATCAGCAACAGCTGTGAAAATTACTTCTCATGCATTTTTTGAACCTGATTAAATAAATTATAATCAAGGTTATAGTTAATTTCCTTTTCAAATACCACAGATACCAGTGTCTATGTCTGATACCCATCAAGCCTCAGCAGTGTGGCACAATTATCTCTGCAGCTACATCGGGATACTTAGGTGGGTCTTTCTTCAGTGAATGGGGAGATGGAGTCATCAGAGTCAAGGGTGCTCAGCAGTTCCCCTGTACCAGCACTTGTTGCCCCAAAGATGCCAGGCACCATAACGTGTACAGGTAGATGGGGCTGGCAGGAACCATCCACATGCTCATAGGCAATTTTTTCTGCAGAGGAGCCAGCTGTATTAACATGGGGTTTCTTGCCACTGACGGTTCTTTCTGTTTATCCCTAACTAGAAAAGCACCTCTTAATTTTCATCAAGAAAGACTTCTTGCAGCAGAGCAAATGTGAGTGTACAATCTTCACACATGGTAACCTTAGGACTGCACAGTCCTTTCTGTCTTGTCTTCAGCTTGGCTGTGTTTGATTTCACTATTTGTAAAGAAACACTTTGTATATGCTAGGATTGCTTGAGATCATGCCAGAGTTCACAGAAAAAAAATAAAAATTTCTTTGTTTTGTGAAAAGAACAGGATTAAATCCTTGATTAGGATGTTGGAAACAGTGAATAAAAGAAAACACAACCTTGTGATATCCATCTCATCCATGCCTCTTTGTAGGTGGAATTAGCCTTCTGTGTGATGTATCTGCCACAGACACACTGCAGTCAGAGTAGCTCCTCTTATATTCAAAGAATGGCCAAGTGTGCTCTTGGCCACCTTTCTCCCTAAATCCACTAAATAAAATTCTTCTGTGTTAATTTGTGGGATCATATTACAAGCTGCAATACTCACCCTCAGTGCCTATGGAACAACCAGAAGCTCACCAGGGAATGTTTTCTCAGCTCAAAGCCTGTTTACCCTTTCTCTGGGGAAACCAGGTCAACTGCAATTAGAACTATGATATTTGGTAGATATCATTTCTCATATGGTGCCTTTTGGCTACCTATCATCCCAATGCCTATTGCAGTAATACCTGCCATCCTTTACAGGAGAAATTTCCAGATGTGGCACACCTGAGGATTTAGGTCACATTTCCTGCACAGAGAAGGCAGAAACAATCTTCTGTAGCTATAAATGTGTTTCCAGCCCCCGGTGGTCCAGGGGAAAATTCACTGCGCTGTCACTGCAGAGACCCGGGTTCGATTCCCGGTCGGGGCCCCTCCCCGGGCAGATGGAGCTCGTTAGCCTGTAAGGCAATCCATCTACGTCCTGAGGACCTCGCTGCCACCGTCCAAGCGTGCTTGGCCCCGGCAGATGAACCTCAGGATTAAAGGGTGGGCTCAGTTCCGCGCACACTGTGTCTCACCTAAAAAAATCCAATGCGCAGGCTGGAAGGTGGAAAGACCTTCCCCGGTTCTTCGTTCGCGAAGAGACTGGCCAACATAGTTAGAAGGGTGTTTCCAGAGCAGATGTTTTGGCAAAGCCTAGAGCTGGCAGAGATGGCAGTGCCATTAGAAAGGGCTCAGTGATCCTTGCATTCCAGATACAACCTCCTCCATTTGCCACATCAGCAGGTCCTGTTTTCTGAATGCTATAATGCTCTTTAGTCAGCAAAATCTACCAACCACTGCTCAGAGTCCTTGTCTGAGGCAAAGAGCAAAAAAGGGCTGATCTGGTTGTGTGAACTGGAGGTGCTGGCCCAGAGCTTGGTACTTCAGGTTCCCCAAACATGGAGATCACTGTTGAACTGTTGGGCAAAATCCAGCATGTTCTGCTGCCTGCCTCTGCCAGAGCTGCTGTGCCCCACACTTGAGGTGGTGGTCAGCCTCTGGGATCTGGGCTTGGGCAAGGCAAGTCAGAGCTGTGCTGCTGTCCCTGTAGCTGCTTACGTCGCAATGCATAGAAACTAGGTTGATAAAAAAGCTTTTCAGGGTGAAATAAGGTTGTACTGAACATATTGGAGATGTTTTACCAAAATTCTAAGCACACTTTTTTTCCCTGTATTTTGGCCTTATTTTTTGGAATGTGAGGTAATGTTAAATGTTCCGTTAACATTTTCCTGTTTTATACGAACAGGAAATACCATTCTCACCTATAAGCTAAAAAAATAATGGAAATAGGCCTGTTTTGTGGTAATTGCTGCTCTCTGACTCACACTGCCTCCCTCCTCATACAAGAGCCTTATGCCTGTCTGTGTTTGCTTCTTGCTCAAATACTATCTTCTGAAGTTGAAGGAGATTTTTTTTTGGAGCTCTGAGTTTAGTTTTCTCTCTGTACTCATTGTCATTGTCACCAAGACAGTTAGTTTGTAGAGCAAAGCAGAGTGTATTTTGCAATTTTATTTTGGCTGGCTGCTCTATACCAGTACACTAGAAGTCAAAGGAATCCTGGTGATGATAAGCGAACTGCATTCAAAGCACCTGACCTTACACACACATCTATACACAGGTCCAAATCTACACTTTAAAAGGGTTAGGAAGATTTTTGCAGGGATCATTTTGGTATTATCAGACTCTAACTATGTTTTACCCTCAGAAATACCCATTAAAAATAATCTTTTATTTCACGGTTCTTTAAAGTTTAAGACCAAGTCGGGCAATGTCAACTCCTGTATCTCAAACAACTTGCCTGAGTTCTCATCCAGATCCTGCAAATTTAAGCTGCTGCATGATTTCAACTGGAAAAAATAATTTGGGTTTTTCAAAATAGAAAACTTTAAGAAAGCAGCGTTTGTTTAAGCTGGCAAAGGGGAAGCTAAAGGGAGGCATTAGAGGAAGCTCATGGAAGGATAGCTACTGGAAGGATATTTACGATGACAACAGGCCAGATTCTTCTCAGTAGGGCCAGACAGCCCAGACATGGAGTGGGAACCACCAGAGTGTGGAAGGATCACATTGGACGTGAGAATGTCCAATGGACATGAGACAGTGTGACTCAGGAACAGATTGCTTAGGGAGCAGAGGCTGCAGAGTCACAGCCCTTGAAGGTTTCTGAGACTTCATAAGGCAAAGTCATGTCTGAGATGACCTTATATTTGTGTCAGCCCCTCTTTGTGGAGGATGCTGGTTCAGCTACCCTCCACAGGTCTCTTCTAACCAGTGTTTTGTTGAGTCTGTGACACTTCTTAGTGCAACAGACAGGAACACAAGGTTACCTCATTGCAGCCTCCAACTTCTTCATGAGGGGAAGAGGGGATCTGATCTCTTCTCTGTGGTGGCCAGTGACAGGACCTGAAGGAATGGTTTGAAGTTGTGTCAAGGGAGGTTTAGGTTGGATATTAGGAAAAAGTTCTTCACACAGAGTGGGGTTGCGCACTGAAACAGGCTCTCCAGATAAATGGTCACAGCACCAAGCATGACAGAGTTCAAGAATCTTTTGGACAATATTCTCATGCCCATGGTGTGACTCTTGGGGATAGTCTTAT